CATACAAAACCTGAAGACCTACGTGTATTTAAGATACACTGAGTATTAAGACACTGAATTGTAAGAAAACGATTTAAATATAAATAAAAAAGCCTACTATTGAAACCATGCCTACTGCCACTAAATTTATTATTATTTTTATATAGGTAAATATGTGGTGGTCTAATATGATTTTTTAAATGTTAGTAATAATATGAAAATATATTTTGTTATGGCATTCCAATTTTCCGTATAGTTAATCCCTGAATAGAAAGTTGATTGACTTCAATTTTGATATAATTCTTACTAGAGAACTTGAATCCTTATTCTCTGTTATAGGGTAATTTGGTTTTATCACCAAGCATGAAATCGTTTTGTGGTTTGTGACGGACATTATTATAAAGTTAGTTTGTATGGTGTATTAAAACTGGTTGTGACTGCCTAAAATCTAAACTTAGACACATAGAAGTGTTAGGGTTAAGATCAGACACAAGATAATTTCTCTATAGGTGAGAGATTGTTGTTTTGGTTGGGTTAACAGGTCTCCCAAAGATGAGACAGACTCATGGATGAAGAAAAAGAATAGTAAAAGAAGTGGAGAGAACAGGATAGGAAGTCGGTGACTATGATGTTAGTAATTAAAATGAGATTTCAGTTGTATTTCAGTTTTGAGAGTCCATGTGTTAAAAACAGGGTCTCTACAGCAAAATTTCTAGACTAATAAATCATACTGTGTATTAAATGTATTTGATAACAGAATAAAAGAGAAAGCTTTTAGGGATTTTTGTTTTCTCATAGTATATAAAAATTTAGGGAATGTTTCAGAGAAACTAGGAGGAGATTTTGTTAAAGATTGTTGGTAAAATTATAAAGAAAGTTAAAGATTACTGTGGATTTCTATATATGTATATATAAAAATATATATTTATCTTGCAGAATTCCAGTATCCAATTTAGTGGATAGCTGGGCATCACTTTTGATCCTACTGAAAGACTCTATACAACTGAGTCTTCCAGCCCCAGGGCAGTTCCTTATACTTGGGTAAGCAATTTTACTTAAAAATATTATTTTGAATAAATGAATGTCCACTATCTTAATTGCTATCTATCAGATGTTTTGGGTAACCATGTGATCTCTACCATCTCAGAATTCTCAAGGTATAAAACTAGACGTATAACATGAGGCCTGTAAACAATGGAGTGGGCAGGGATGGAGAAATCATGTTTATACATATACAGAATGTAAATGTGCTAGTGTAAAGCTTACAACACTAGTTATTTCGTGAGGAGAGACTATGGATTAGAAGAGGGAGGTGACATGAACCAGAAGGTCACAATTGGATTCCCGGTCGGGGCACATGTCCGGGATTTGGACTCAATCCCCAGTACAAGTGTGCAGAGGTAACCAATCAGTGATTCTCATCATTGATGTTTCTGTCTCTCTTTCCATCTCCCCTCCTTTCTCTGAAATCAATAAAAATATATTTAAAAAATAAAAAGGGGAAAGAGGTGAATAGGATAGCTGAAGTGGACTGCATAGAGGAAGGTCATTTGAGTCCAAGACTCTGAGCATAAACAGATTTGGAAAAGTCATTTTCCTGATTTATGTTACTAGTTTGTATGATTATTTGATAAATTCCAGTCCCCCTTGCTTAACTTCAAGCACCATGATTTCATGGACATTGTTATTTTGCTTACTATTATTCTTGGTTCACAATAAATACTTGCTCTGTGAATGGAAATGGTAGGAACAGAAAGCCTTCTTTCTGGAGGTTGTAGGAGATAAGCGGAAGGTATATTGGGCAAGGTACCTTGTCTGGTTTGGTTATAGAGTAGGGCACAAGCAGTGGAATGGGGGATAAATGAGAAGGGATATGGGAGCTAGATAGAGAAGCACTTTGCATTTTACATTAAGAAATTTGGTCTTGGGAAGGGGTGGACTGATTGTAGGTGTTGAAGAGAGACATAACTGACAAGTTAGTAGGAGGATAAATCAAAATGGAAAGAGGATGGATTAGGAATTATGTTTCAAGTGAGAGTTAGGGAGTATGAACTAATAATGGGAGTAAAAGAACAGGACAAAGAAGAAGGAAGAGGTCAGCAAAGGAGATAGAAAGGCAAATAACAGAAAGTGAGAAGAAAACCAGATATATTCAGTGTTTTAAAACAAAAAAGAGGTCATAAGTAATACCAGAAAGATTAAGGAAGATGAGGATAAATAAGAGGCTATAATTATTGATGATTTTGAAAGGGTTGGTGATTTAGGGGAAAGGAGTTAGGCAAGATAGTAAGCACAGATGTGAACAGCAAAGGGTGAGAATGAGAAAGTAAGTGTGGGTTATTCTTTGAAGGTGTTTAATCATGAAAATAAATTATGAGGTAGCAAGAGGAAATGTGATTCAAAGGTCATATTACTGGTAAGGAAGACCTGAGGACCTTGACTTGTTACTAGCAAAGATTCTGAAGTTGTACAAATCCCAGCTCCTTTACTTATTAGCTGTGTGCCCTTGGGCAGGTCATTTAACCTCTCCATCTGTAAAATGGGGATGATAATGTGCCTGTTATAGAGTTGTTATGAGGACTAAATAAGTTAAATATTTGTTAAAATCTTAAATAGTTCCTGGCCTATTTTAGTAAGATGGTCTTCAGTAAGTGTAATGTAAGTGGAGAGTGACAGCAGATTCTAGAGAGAATCTTCTTGATAGCACCAGATTCCAGAGACAGCAGGGAAGGAATGGGAAGCATTGAATGGCACCAAGTCTAAAAGTGAGAAAGAAGGGTGTATTTTCTCTAAAAGACATTGCCACTCAAAGGTTGACCCTTCAACTAACAGCATTGCAATCATCTGGGATCTTGTTAGAAATGTGGAATCATAGGCTCTACCCCAGACCATCCCCAATCAGAATCTTCATTTTAACATGATTCCCTCGTGATTTAATACACACTAAAGTTTGAAAAGGACTGTTTAAGACATAAGGGGGAAAATAAAGGGAATAGAGTAAACTTTTCCCAACCTTTTTACTTTACCTCAGTCTAATGGTGTCATTACTAGTCAATGACAGCCAATATGTTATCACACTGAATGGACAAATTCAACCAATAGCAACGATCTATTGTCTGACTTACCTTCTACACTTATTGTCCTTAAGAGAACTAGCAATTCTGGTTTGGCAGCCAATGATGTAGAAAATTTTGAAGTGGAGAAGAAGGAAGTTGAGGGCTCTTCAGTAAAATGACCTCATGTTTCCTAGTGATTGTGGGATTGCAGCCTTCCAACAGGAAGCAGAGAGAAGGTAGAGCTACCGAGCTGAGAGCTTGAAGAGAGTGAATTGGCCTGGAGTAGCTGAGTAACGTTGACGGCCCAGCCACAGTGAGCTAGAAATCCTGCTTGAGTGTTTCAGGGATCAGGATGATCCCTGGTTCCTCATGCTATTTTCTAAATAAAAAACTGAAGGGTTTTGGAGATTGAAGGTGTAATAAAAAGAGCAGTAGACTTGATGTCTGCAATTCCTGGAACAGAAGTTACGATTACCCATGTGTAAGATTTTATTTTATTTTTATTTTTTATTTTTTTTAAATATATTTATTGATTTTTTCACAGAGAGGAAGAGAGAGGGATAGAGAGTTAGAAACATCAATGAGAGAGAACCATCGATCAGCTGCTTCTTGCACACCCCCTACTGGGGATGTGCCTGCAACCAAGGTATATGCCCTTGACCAGAATCGAACCCAGGACCTTTCAGTCCACAAGCCGACACTCTGTCCACTAAGCCAAACCGGTTTCAGCAAGATTTTATTTTTTTTAATATATTTTTACCGATTTCAGAGAGGAAGGGAGAGGGGAAAGAGAGATAGAAACATCAGTGATGAGAGAGAATCATTGATAGGCTGCCTCCTGCACACTCCCTACTGGAAATCCAGCCCGCAACCTGGGCATGTGCCCTTGATCTGAATCGAACCTGGGACCGTTCAGTCCACAGGCCAATGCTCTCTCCACGGAGCCAAACCAGCAAGGGTCTCATGTGCATTTTAGTAATGAGAGATGTAACTTCTAGAAATCAAACATTCTAATGAAGATTTCTGGTTCTTATATTTTAAGCTCTACAGTACTTCCAACTCTATTTTCTGTTACTTGGGTACATCAATAAACCTCTCCAAGGCTATTTTCCTATCAAGCAGTAATATCTGCCCGACCCGCCTCTGAACTATTTTAAGGCTCAAAGAGGGAATATATGTACAGTTGTTTGAATCCACCAAATACCTGCTGGCTAATTTCATTAAAATTTAAGGCAATCTATTATGAGTTGTAGCTTCTCCCTTACAAAATTTAGTGTTCCCTCAACTACTTTTCTCATTCCTCAGATAAGGAAGGATCCTATCTGTTTCTCAGTATGTGTGTACATTGAGCATTTACACAAAAAATTGGACATGTTTGGTTATACTAGAAATTTATTTCCCTTTTTAAATGTCTGATTGTTCATATATTTTTTTCCCCAACCATTCCATTGATTCTCTAAAAAGTTCTAATTATAAAATAGAAATCAACATGAAGATTACTCTTCAATATAACTTTATATGAGTTTGAAAATAATTTTGCATATTATTTATCTTTTTTAAAAATATTTTATTGATTTTTCTTACAGAGAGGAAGGGAGAGAGATAGAGAGCTAGAAACATTGATGAGAGAGAAACATCAACTGGCTGCCTCTTGCACAACCCCTACCAGGGATGTGCCCGCAACCAATGTACATGCCCTTGACCGGAATCCAATCTGGGACCTTTCAGTCTGCAGACCGCTGAGCCAAACCGGTTTTGGCTGCATATTATTTATTTTAACAAGATCAAGGCAAAATAAATATTGAATGGAATAGCTTAGCAAACAATGGAAATGAAAACATTTTAATTTAATCTATTATATATATAATATTACATATTATATATACACATGCAGGGTAAGAACCATCTCTATGTCACAATTTAAAATTGGTGGGTTTGGGTGTGTTTTGTCGTGTGTGTTTTTTAACTTTTTGGTTGATGCATAAAACACATACAGAAAATCTTACAAATAATTAAGTACACAACTCCACAAATTATTATAACGTAAATACACAAGTGTATTATAGCGAGTATAAATTAAGAAATAAAACACCATATGTCCCGTAAGGTCCCCTCCCAATTACTACGCTTTCCCTTCTCCCCAAGATAACCACTATTCTGACTTCTAAGACCACAGATAAATTTTGCTTGGTTTTTGAACTACCGTGTTTCCCTGAAAATAAGACATCCTCCAAAAATAAGACCTACTTACAGGCTTCCTTCTGAGTAAAATATAAGGCATGCCCCGAAAATAAGCCCCCCCCACCCCCCCAGGCTAAACATGAGAGATTTGGTCCACCGATTCTGAAAGAAATGGAGTCACAAGAAATTCACTAGGAAATTCTGGAATTGGATTGTTATGATGATGTTCCAGAAGATGATGACATGATTGTCATTGAATAAATGAGTAAATTCTTGATACTGTAGGATTCACAGTTTGTCTGGTTTGTGTTGACAACTACCGTACCGTATACAGGTAATAAATTTCCTTTATTTTCATTTAACAATAAATGTGTACCGTATTCTTCTTCATGGAAAAATAAGACATCCCTGAAAATAAGACATAGTGCATCTTTGGGAGCAAAAATTAATATAACACACTGTCTTATTTTCAGGGAAACAGGGTATAACTATAACTTCTATTTTGTGTCTGCTTCCTTCACACATTGTTAAGATTCATCCATGTAATTTCATGTAGTTATTTGTTCATGTTTATTGCTGTTTAGTATTTCATTGCATGTATTATGCCATGGTGTATCTCTGTTGCTGGACATTTTTATTCTTTCCAGTTTTGGGCTTTTTTCAAATAATGTTGTTATGCAAACATCCTTGGACATATCTTTTCATAGCATATGATACTATATATATTCATTAAACATACAATATATATAATCATGAAAAGAAAGAAATTATGAGGTAGCAAGAAGAAATATGATTCAAAGGATATATAGGATACAACATATATATTCATTAAACACACACAATAGAAATTGAGGCCACAGAGTCACTTGATCACTGTGAGAAATTAGATTGCATCATTTTATTCAATATTTCTGGTCTTTTGTTTTGTTTTGGCTCCTTTAGGGTTCTGAATGAGTTTATTATGAAAAACCCTAGTTTGGAAAATAAAAAAGACCAAAGAGACCTTCAGGTAAGGCATTCTGAATTGAGGACTGTTGCACAAACTGTTTCTCAGTGTTCTCAACACTGAAATGGGAAGGTCAAATAACCTTCTATGAAGTTGTCTATGAAGTTTCATGTGCCTGTATGTAAGTACATATATTTATAGTGGTTTTTCCTTGTTTCTTTAGGATGTGACTCATAAAATAGTGGATGCAATTGGTGCAATTGCTGGTTCTTCTTTGGAACAGACAACATGGCTACGCCGGAATCTTGAAGTTAAGCCTTCTCCCAAAATAACGGTGGACGGAACCACTCTGGAATCTGATGTTGAAGGTATCGATATCAAACATTTAGGCTTATAAGTGTAGGTGTATATTCACTAAGAAAGCATTGCAGCTATTACTAGAAATAGCATAAAATCATCCCTTTTTCCTCATATTTAGCAGGCAGCTTTCTTAGTGGGAAAGATCTAACTTTACCTGCACCTTCTTCTCTTATTTAGATATGTTATCACCTGCACTGGAAACCTCAAACATAGCTCCTTCTGTATATAGTGTTCACGCACTGACATTGCTTTCTGAGGTAAATATTAAGTTTGTTAAAATGAACTTTCAAGTAAAAAGTTTCACAAATATTAGCAAGTAATTCTTAAAGTTTTTAATTTGAAAAATCATTTTGTACTTATAGAAATCACTGTATAGAATAAAGTTTGAATTTGTATTCAGGTTATTTAGTTTTTTAAATATTCGTGATAAGAACCTTAGATTTTGCTCACCTTCCCAAATACTATTTTTTAAAAGTGTATTTTTGTATCATAGTATTGTAGGGAGGGGTAGAGATTATAATGATGCTTGCCACTATAAAGTATTTTACAGTGTACCAAACATTTTTATATGCATCCTCTGACATGCTCTTTTTTATATCCTGATATATAGCCTTGCAGGTCATTTTTGTTGACTCTTTTAGATTGGATACTGAGCCTCACAAAGATTAGAACAATATGATTAAAATCAAATAGCTATTAATTGACAGAGTTGGGACTTGAGTATCTGAGTTCATTTGGTTTTTTTTACCCCAAGCCCCCTTTAACCAGGTCAGGAAAAGAGTTTCTAGTCTTAAATTTACTATTTACTCACATTAAAAGGACTTTGACCTCTCTTTTTATATACTTCCCTATCTCAGTTAAAGATAGTAAAATTTGCCCATATTTATATATCCTGTAGTAATAATGAACAAAAAAAAAGCAAATAGTATGAAACTGTTCATATAAAAATGGCTTAGGAAGATCTTATTTTAGATTTTTCTAATTTTAAGGCATTTTAGGCTTTTTCTTAAAGATGAAAATCACCTCTGAATGCTCTTAGATTATACTCCACTTTTTATTTTTTATTTTTTTAGGTTTTGGCTCATCTTTTGGATATGGTTTTCTATAGTGATGAAAAAGAACGAGTTATTCCTTTACTTGTAAATATTATGCATTATGTTGTGCCCTACCTCCGAAATCACAGGTATTATTATTATTTAAGTAGATTTCTTAATTTGTAGCTCATTCCATTACTGCCATTATTTGAATTACCACAAAATGACATTATTTTTACCTTGAATTACAATGATTAAAACATTTATCTTATGGTACTCTCTGTTTCCTATCATTGTTTCAGGTAACTGTGAACATTAATTAATAACTTACTATGATGATTAAAATGATAACATATAGATTAAGGTAGTTTTCCTTCCTCCTAGTGCACATAATGCCCCTAGCTATCGAGCCTGTGTCCAGCTGCTCAGCAGTCTTAGTGGGTATCAGTACACCCGGAGAGCCTGGAAAAGAGAAGCCTTTGACCTCTTTATGGATCCCAGTTTCTTTCAGATGGATGCCTCCTGTGTTAATCAGTAAGTCATTGTCTAGCTTTTATTCAACATGATAATGCATCTCATAAAGTCTGTTGAAATTAATTACTATCCTGCAAAAGAGAAAACATTTTAATAATGATAACAACAAAATCTTAATTATATATCTTAATCCTTGTCTTTTTCAGTTGGAGAGCAATTCTGGACAATTTGATGACACATGATAAGACAACATTTAGAGATTTGATGAGTGAGTATTATGGGATGACAACCTAAGCAATGTATTTCCTATACATAGTATATAAACTATTCTTATTTATTTTGCTCTTTTTAGACACTACTGATTATACTTAGCTCTTTGTCAAGTTATACTTAGTACCCTCTAGGAATATAATATTAAAACTCAAAGGGGACAGCATAGTGATAACTAATAAGTAAAATTGTTTGACCATGTGTCTGTAAATTGTTTCCTTAGACCAGGCATCTTCAAACTTTTTAAAGTGGGGGCCAGATCACGGTCCCTCAGAGAACTGGAGGGCCGGACTATATGAACTACTAATTCCTACTGTAACACCTCGGCTGCGCTCACTGCCCAAAAAACCTGGCGGGCCAGATCAGACTCCTCTGCGGGCTGCATGTGGCCCGCGGGCCGTAGTTTGAAGACGCCTGCTTAGACCATAGCGTAGAACCTCGCACATAGTAAGCACTCAATAAGTAATTGTTGAAGAAATGAAACAGTGATATTTCATCTGAAGAAAAGGGATCTTTAAAAATGTTTTTAAGTTTGGAAGTTACTAAGCTAATGACCTTAATAGCAGCGAAGTTGGGTGAGTCTGTATGATTCTGCATAAGCTCTTAAACACAAACTACAGTCCCCCCTCCAGAAAATAAAGCAGCAGCATATTCTCGCTTCTCTGTTCTTCACTGCGTTGTTTTAAGGTTCAGATCTATCCATTCAACAAATATTTATTAAAAGACAAAAATGGGGCAGGCATTATGCTAACCTTAGTCACATAAATAAGATTATTTTCGGAATAAGTAAGAAGTTGTAAAGGAAATAGAGCAATGCAATAGATTTTATATAACAGAGCTCATATTTGAGGTGAAACTAAAGAAGCCTCGAGATGTCCTAGGGGCAGAGTATTTCAGGCACAGAAACAAAAATTATAAAGGCCTTGGGTGGGAATGAGCTTGGTGAGTTCAAGGAAAAACAAGCAAGACAGTGTGATTGCAGAAGAGTTAGCAGGGGAAGGTGACAAGACATAGCGAAGGAGAGGAGAGCAAGGTAGACCAGGCCAGAAATTAGGGAGATGGCATAAAATATTAAAGGGTTTATAAAATGGCATTGTTAGTAATCTTACTGTCAGAAACTTCTAGTTCTAAAGTTTCTGTCTCTACATCACAGCTCCTACACAAATCTGGCTTGTGTATGTTGGATCTGTTTGCCAATCCCTCTGCCCCAGAGAGAAGCCCAAGTTCTCTACCCTAGGTTCCTTTCACTCTTAATCTAACCATTTTTAAAAACAAATAATGATCTGGCTGACTATATCACAACCTCTCTCACATGTTTTCTGTTTTCAGCTCGTGTGGCTGTGGCTCAAAGTAGTTCACTTAATCTCTTTGCAAACCGGGATGTGGAGCTAGAGCAGAGAGCTATGCTTCTCAAAAGATTAGCATTTGCTATTTTTAGCAGTGAAATTGACCAGTACCAGAAATATCTTCCAGATATACAAGGTAAATAGTGGAAACTATTTTATTTACCTTCCAAACTGGAGGGCTTCTTGCTTCTTAGAAAATACTTTCCCTAAGTTGTAATATGGGGTGAAATATACCATCTATAGGTAGATGAAAAATGTTGTAGAATTAGAAATTTATTCTATTGAAACAATAAAAAATATTACTAGTATGTAAAAGCAGTCAAACAATGAGTTTGTAGAATGCTTGTAAAGTAGATCCTTTTGTTATTTGACTCACATCTCCTAGGGATTCATATTTGAGGATGAGGTATAAGATTATTTTGCTGTGGGCAGTATTATTAGCATTTTTAAATTGTGCATAAGGGGTCATATACCTTTAAGCAGAAGACCAAAATACAGGCAGAACCAGGAAATTTTGAAATTTTGACTGGAAGTAGCATTTCAAGGTCTGTAGTCTAGGGTCAGGGTATGGAGTGAATAAGGTTTTAATAAACCTTCATGAAGGATGTCAGTGCACTTAACGCACCGGGGGATGAACTTGCCCTGGGACAAATTGTTTGCTGCTCTGTCAGTGTGCTTGTGCCGCCACCAGCCACCAGCCACAGCAGCCGGCCTGGGGACATCTCCTCAGTGAAATTATTTCTCTCTCTCAGATGAGTAACTCCTTTCTGACCCCTTGTAGCTGAAGTCACATATACAGCACCCACACTGTTTGTGCTGTTGTTCCAAAGTCGACTAGATCAGGGCTACTCAAAGTGGACCCGTACAGACATTTACAGTAAGCATTTTTTAACATTTTAACAAGTTCACAGAATATGTTGATTCTAATAAGAAAATGGCATTTGTATCTTTATATCTTTTTCTTTATGATTTTTCTAATAATTCATTTTTATTATAGTTTACAAAAGTATCAACCTACAGCATATTAGAAATTTTGTAGAGTTGGTCCTTCACCACAGAGAGTTTGAGCAAAACTAGACTAGATTATATAGAAAAGTTTTATATTAAAATGATTCTAGTTATTTAGGTATTGACCATTTGCTGCATTTCTTTCAGAGAGATTAGTGGAGAGTCTTCGTTTGCCCCAAGTGCCAACTCTTCACTCTCAAGTGTTCCTCTTCTTCAGAGTGTTGCTTTTAAGAATGTCTCCACAACATCTTACCTCACTCTGGCCTACCATGATTACAGAACTTGTGAGTTCATTTTTGTTTAGTCAATTTATAATAAATTATAGAGCACTGCAGGTAGTGTCAACATGTTTACTATATAAGAACTAATTTTGAAAGAGACTTGAACTCTAGTTAAGCCTTTTTCTGACAATTTTAACATTTTAAAATAGTAAAACAAGTCAGATTACCTCTCCATACGGCTTAAACTTCCTAATATAAAGCATTAATATTAGCTACTTGTAAATTAGTTACTTTGTCTGATTTGGTTTAATTTAATCTCTTTACACCAAATGTTTAACTTTGTCCCAGCTGCCAGGCCTGGTTCCCACCTGTGGCAGCACCTTTTGAGTGGTGAGAGGGGGCGTAGCTGTATTTAAATGGACTCACATAAGGCACATACTCACTCTAAAATGCAGTTCTTGCTCTAGTTAAGCTGCCTTCAGAGAGAGACTTTTTTTTCTGAATGATTTTGAAAACTCCCAAACAGTGAACCTTCCCCCTACACTAATCCATTCCTCTCCCCAAACCATACCCTGTCACCCTCTTCTGAGTGATTTGGGGAGTTGGGGAAAGGAAGATTATTAAAGAAAGGGAAAGGAATGCACAACTCTGACAACCCAGCATTTACAATTTCCCCACAAAGAAATTGGTTTTATTTTTCCTTTTTTAGTAACTGTAACTCTGTTCCATATTCATCCAAACCAAAAACATACCTTCATCTCAACTCTGCCAAATGATTATTAGCAAGGCTCTGTGGTAAATATCCTGAAGTTGTTTCCTAAAATTTGTGGGGTTTTATTTATTGTCAAAAGTATTACACATGTCCCCCTTTCTCTCCCAATTGACCCTCTCAACCCCATCCCCTCCTCATGCCTTCACCACACTATTATCTGTGTCTACGGGTTATGCATATATGCATACAAGTTCTTTAATTAATCTCTTCCTGCCCCCCCTAAAATTTATTTTTATATTAATGAAAATGTAGCCTAAAGATAACTTGAAAGAAGAATTAAATATCCAGTTTGAAAAAAACATTTAACATTTATTCCACGGTCTTCAGGTACAGGTATTTTTACTGATGGAGCAGGAACTCACTGCTGATGAAGATATTTCACGGTAATATGTAATTCATATCAATATATTCTTGACAATATTTAGTATCCAAAAATCATCCAGAATGTTACTTTAAACTAGAAGAATACAGATACTGTTTTTATCCAAGTACTTAATATACAGGGTTGGGCAGAAGTAAGTTTACAGTTGCTCATATGGAAAGTTGTCCATACTAATAAAAGAGAAAGATGCAAATTGACCGTACCTTTGTGAGGACTACCAGCCAATCAGGAGTGTGTATGCAAATTAACCCAACAAATATGGTGGGCTAATTTGCATACACAGGTGCTGAGCTGCTAGAGGCAGGATGCTTGCATCACGCAGGTGTTTCACACCACCCTAGCCGCTCCGGGCCTCTGGGCAGCATGGGAAGGTGGAAAGGCGGCTCCAGCTGGAGTGAGGGCAGTGCTGGCAGCCAGGGGAAGGAAGGCCCATTCTTGCATGAATTTTCATGCATTGAGCTTTTAGTATAATAATAAATAATAATACAAGAATATTGCACTCAAAATTGTAAACCTACTTTCACCACACCCTGTGCTTAGTCTGTTACTATCTACTTGATTACATTTGGATACATGTTCACTTGTTCGTAAAACACTTTGGACTGGATTAAACTATCAGTATTCATGGCCTTTGGCCTAAAGACACAAATTTTGTTTAAAGCTATATAATAGTGTTTCAGCTATATGAACCATTTTGGGTTTGGTAGGTCAGATCTTGGCCATAGCACATGCAGCAAAATGTATTATGGGAGGTAACCTTTCACTAAAATATTCATATGTTCAGATCTTCCAGATGATATCACTTCAATTTATTATAATTTCACTAGAGACCTGGTGCACAAAATTCATGCATTGGGGGCAGGGTCCTTCAGCCTGGCTTGCACCCTGTCCAATCTGGTACCCCTCAGGGTATGTTTGACTGCCTCTTGTAATCTGGGACCACTGGCTCCTAATCCCCAGGCCTGATCGCCCCTAACCACCTCTGCCTGCCTGCCTGATTGCCCCTAACTGCTCCCCTCCTGGCCTGATTACCCCTAACTGCTAACCCTCCTGTCCTGACCTTCCTTAACCACCTCTTCCTTGTCCCACACCCAGGATCTGGGCTTCCCTCCCTCTGGCCAGCTGCAGGAACCCAGGACCTGGGTTGGCTTTGCCCAGGCCAGCTGCTTTGGGGTGCAGCCACAGGCACTGGTGCCCGGGCCTGGCTGGTCCCCATTCCTCTCTTGCAAGCTCATTTGTGCCTGGCTAGTTCCCATACCTCTCTCCCAAGTGTTGAGTGTCTGAGCTGTTATAGCATGAAGGCATGAGGGCATATAGACCATTTGGATATTAGCTCTTTATTATATAGGGTTCTTCTTAGTAGACGCAGTTAATTGTATGACTAAATATAATTTATTTTTATTTATGTAGGATTTTTGTACAAAATAAGTTTATAAATTTAAAATTTCCTTTAAAACCATTGTCTTTTTTTTAGTGTGTGTGTGTGTGTGTGTGTGTGTGTGTGTGTGTAATTGATTTTTTTTTACAGAGAGGAAGGGAGAGGGATAGAGCCAGAAACCTCAATCAGCTGCCTCCTGCACACCTCCTCCTGGGGATGTGCCCACAACCAAGGTACATGCCCTTGACTGGAATAGAACCCAGGACCTTTCAGTCCGCAGGCTGACTCTATTCACTGAGCCAAACCGATCAGGGCTAAGACCATTATGTCTTGAGTATATTTTATTCTTTTATTCAAGTGCTTGACTTATAAGAGTTCCCCGAACTAATAACTGTGTTTGTTTTTATAGAAAGTCCCCAATCCCTTGCAGAACAAAACTGAGTTGTAGAGAGGTCTCTTGGTTTTAAAACTTTTGGGTTTAACATAGTAATTCTGTACTATTTTTATATTAATAAAATTTAAAGAACAAAGAGTAATGTTTTGATTGAGACCAGCTAAATTATAGTCATAACTTTGCTTATTAAGTACAGGTACTTACGTTTTCAAATGATAATAAAAAATACTAGCTGGCACTTGGAGGTGTTCCAGGAATTACCCGTTAGTAAACAGGTCCAGCTACTGACAGCACTGTCTCCTGCTCACAGGACCTCAGGCCCCTCTGTGGCTGGTCTGGAGACAACCTACACAGGTGGCAATGGCTTTTCTACTTCGTATAACAGCCAGCGGTGGTTAAACCTCTATCTCTCTGCTTGCAAATTTTTGGATTTGGCCCTGGCATTGCCCTCTGAAAATCTTCCTCAGTTTCAGATGTAAGTAAAAGCAAGGATGTTTTAAATGGATATTCCGAAAATGCATTTGCTTTGGTCACTGATATCTAAGACTAATTGAAAAGTTTTTGTATAAGTTGAAATATTTTTAATGAATATTAAAAATTATAAAATATTTTTATAATTCTTTTGAGGAATGAGAGAACAGACTTATTGGAAGTAAATTATTTCTATGGATATATTAAAATTAACAGACCAGTCAGCCAACAAATTGAATGCTCCCTGGATGTGAAACAGTGGGGAACGTGACTCATCAGCTTCAAGTCCAGTGAAAGAGACCTAAACACATGATGATTTGATAGCAAATGTGATCCAAGATGCTGTGAGGCCACACCACAGTGACTGCTCCTGCCTTTGAGGGTCAGGCAAGCCAAGAGGTGGTGAAGAGCGAGGGTTGATGCTTGTGTGAAGACTTAGAAAGGAGTGGACTTGGTGTGTGGAAAATATTGAAAGATTAGTATTGCTGGAGCAGAACTTTGAAACAAAAGGCCGGAATTATGAATTATATAGCCTTGTAAACTATTATTAGAGAATTTGCACTTTACCCTAAGGACAGTGGGAAGCCTCTGAAGCATACTAAGGAATGAAGTGCTGTTATCAGGTCAGGCTTGCATTTTAGAAATTTTACTGTGGCTGTAGTTTGAAGAAAGGACTGGACATGGGCAAGACTTGAATGGAGGCTGTTTTATTCCAGATGAGAGTGAACAGCACTAGAGATGGCAGAGGGGAATAGGGAGAAAACTGATGTAAGTTTTTACAAGGCCTTATTCGTAAGCATTCAATATTTATGGTTTCTCACATTTAAATTTTTAATAGGCAAACTATATAAGATAGTTTCATCAAAATAGAACTAAGATAATTTGAGAATTTACCCACATGATCAAATATGTTTTTATAAATTGTTCTTCTGGAATAGAATATTAAAATAAAGATATCAGAATCTTTCTATATTTGAACATTCTTAAATCTCCCAAACCTACTTCACAAGTTCACTTTTTATTAAATGTGTTGGTAAGAACTATAAACTACTTGTAATTTTTTTTTTTTGCATTTGAAAACCATATACATCTATTTCTTGATGAATTTCAGCGGTTGGGTATTTATTAAACTGATGTTATTCCCAAAGAAATTCATAAAAGGACAATAAGTACTGTAGGAAAATGGCCAAAATTAATTAAGATGCTTATCTTCATAAAGATAGAAACTACCCTCTTTAGGGCTTTAGGAAGAACATTAAGTAGTATGCTTATGGTACTGACTTTTTAGCTTCCATGATGAGAACCAAAATGAGTCTATCCTCTAGTCAAGATACAATTACTAGAAAGGGATGAAAAATCTCTAGTAGTAACTACAGTTTTTTAAAAAAAGTACTAGGTATTTTTTTAAAAATTTATATAAAAGCAGTAGAAGTAACATGGGGATTTAATCTTAAGATTGATAACTTTCTAAGCATGACATGTATTTCAGACATTCAAAATATTTGATAATTTACATACGAAATTAAGTCTGTATGGCTAAAAGATACCATGTTTAAAAGGCAGCAAGGAGTTGGGAAGAGAGATTTGTAGTGTATATTATAAAAGTCCAACTCGCTTTATTGTAAAAGTCAATAACCCAATAGAAAAATGGGTCAATGGGAGATTAGTAGTTCATAGAAAAGGAATGGTTTCTCAACATCAGACATACTCATAAGAGAAATTCCAATGAAAGTTATAAACAAACATCAGAATGGTCTTATCATTAACAATAGAAACATTCTTATTCTTGTTGGAAGTATACACTGAAATACTGTCCAGTTGTTCTCCAAAGAGATTTACAAAAATTCAAAATCCACATTCTCAATAAACAAGTAATTCTACTACACTCAAGAATTTAGCCGACCACTGCACTCTCAGGTGTGCACTAAATCTACGTCATGTAAGGTGTTCATTATGATACTTTTTGTAAAAGCAAGAAATTGGACAAATCTAGAGACTGTTAAATTAGTACCTTCTACTGGGTACTGTTAAAAAGGATGGAGTTTTATGATAACATTTCCAAGATAAATAACTCAATCAAAATAAGCAATCCTGTTTTGTTTTAAAGAGGAGGGCTATAAGAATATGTGCTCTTTTCTACATAAACTCCAGAGAGATGCACAAGACTGGCAATACTGACGGGTCCTACAGTGGGAGGCAGACTCTCTCTCTTTGGTATGCCCTTTTCTATTGTTTGACTTTTTTCCCACATTCAGGTTATTTTACTTATTAAAGACTAAAATAAAAAATACAAAGGGAGGTATTAAAAAGTCCTACTTAAATTATTTGCCCTTTGCCCCATTACTCTGTAATTAGGGAACATTTGGCCAAGTGTATGGTGGAAATCTTGCCTATTAATGAGGATGGAATATTTGTTAAGGACTTCCTTTGTGCTCATGAAAAAAAATAGTGATGAGTACAGCACTTTACAAGCTTACACATACATTTACTAGTTTTAATTCTATGAGATAGTTAACAGTATCTGTATTTACTGATAAAGGGTCAGGTTAAGAAACATGCCCAAGGTGATGGCTACAAGGGCACAGCTGCATTTGAATCTGTGAAAGTTATGGTGATTTGATCTTTCTACTCTATGTGACGTCTTAGATGGCACATGTCTGTTCCTAATATTGATGGGTATCATTCTTCTACACATTAGGTACCGATGGGCCTTTATTCCAGAAGTCTCAGATGATTCCGGTTTGGAAGTCAGAAGGCAAGGCATACATCAACGCGAGTTTAAGCCTTATGTAGTACGACTGGCAAAACTTCTTCGAAAAAGGGCAAAGGTATTACACTTCTTTTAAATTTTAGTTTAAGATAGAATTTATAAAACATACTGTGTTATGAACTTTACCATATATTTTTCATTACATATCAGATTAATTAGAAACCTTGACCCAAGAAAATAGTAAAGTTGACCCTTGAACAATGTAAGGGTTGGGGTACCAACACTCCCCTGCACAGCTGAAAATCCATGTATGCCTTTTGACACCCCAAATCTGAACTACTAATTGCCTACTGTTGACCTTACCAATAATGTAAGTGGTCGATTAACACATATTTTATATGTTACATGAATTACGTATTGTATTCTTGCAATAAAATAAAATAGCTAAAAGGAAATGTTAAGAAAAATCTTAAAAATTACAGCATTTACTGAAAAACAAACAAAAAACCTGTAGAGAAGTGTACACATATAGTACAAACCTGTAGTTGTTCAAGGGTCAGTTGTAATGAATTTAGCATGCTTACCAGTGAGCCTTTGTTACAAATCTTTTACTTTGCCTTCAAAAATTTAAAAAGTAAATTGTACAATTTGGAGATTTTGAGTTCTAGTCTTCTGTGCTTTGAGTGCTCAGAAATTTTCCAGTCTTCTGGGGTCCCTTAGTCAGTAGCTCCTAAACTACTTTCTACAAACTACAGAAAATGGAATGGAGGCAAATGATTAAAAAGGAGGTTGTACTTGAAGGATTTAAAATCAAGTTATTTCTTTAGGGACCAAGTAAAAGGACAGAGCCAAAGATGAAAGTTGAATCCAGAGTTTAGGGTAGGACTTAATTACTTCCACTTTGATATCACAGGTTTGAAAATAATATTAATAGCAAATCCAGAAGCAAGGTGACTATATGACCCCTAAGCACAGGTACTCTGTCATCCTTGCATGTCTTTATTGAGCATTTTCTTAAGATTCCTCCCTTATCCAAGGGATAAATATGACAGTCTTATCCCACAGATAAGAAAACAGTTTTGATTGGAAAGCATTCCCAAACACTTTAAACAAGGCCTTCATGGCCAAGCATACTTTTCCTGGAACAAAGGCTATGAGTTCTCCTCTTTCCTTCCACAGGACAAGGAGGAGGACTTTAAGACAGTGATTTTGGAGGGATTGGAGATGACCAAGCATCAGGTGAGGGTGGCTTTTTGATGCTTGTAATATGGCAGCAAAAGTTGCCACATCTGTACCAAATATTGAGACACAAACCCAGATCTGAATTTCATCCATTACAACAGTTAAAAAGGAAGGAAGCCTTTATTTAAAAATAGATTGGCAAAGTGAAAGGGGAAACCGTTTGTATGGAAACGTGTTTAACTCTTTAATTTTACTTATTATTGAGGAAGGTAATTTTGATTAAGAAGCGCAAACACTAAAGTTCTTCTTGGTCTAGCGCTTAGGTAAGCCCCTCTCTTAAAGGCACACTGGACAGGAACATAAAAGGTTAACCTTAGCTCTTACACCGGGAAATATTTATGTGCAGGGATCAAATATAGTATTCATTTTACTTTAGGACAGTGTTTAATACACTCTAATTACTATGGAATTGTAGTTTGATTTAGGGAACTAAAGGTCGTATGGTCAGCCAACTAATGGTAGTCAATGCTGAGAAAATCAGTCCTGGGACTGTCATTAAAGCAAGTGTTATAGTCAAGAGAAAGGGAGATGGTTTTTTAAAAGCGTATTTTTATTGATTTCAGAGAGGGAGGGAGAGAGAATCATTGATAGGCTGCCTCCTATACACCCCACACTGGGGACCGAGCGCACAACCCAGGCATGTGCTCAACCACTGACCCACACCATCTAGGCAGGAAGATGGCTTTTTATACCTACAATTGAGACTGGAGGCTAAATCACTGCTAACATATTAACTAAGAGCTGGGATTTTTCTGGCCATGAAAAACTGGAAGACCTTTTGTTTAAGTAGTCTTCTCTTAAAAGAGTTAAAACTTAAATCTTTTTTCCTTTCTCAGGACTTTATTTTTAAATTAGCAAACAATTCTGTGAACACACACAAGAAAATGAGCTGGATTTTGCATCTCCTTTCTCCACTAGGAAATTAGTGACATTAAAATATTAGGTAGATACAAGTTTCTTGGCAATATCTCATCTTGTAACTAATATGACAGATTGTAATTCTGTTTCCTAAGTTTTACTTGATTTTTCTTTTTTTTCTCCTCCAGTTTAGTGTTTTTCATATCTTTGAGTCTGCCTAAGTTCAAACATCTTTAGTTCTTATAACTTTTTTCAGACATATTGATATCTAACAGCTGTGTTTGTATATTTAATGGCTTTTCAAATTAGTTTCTTAGTACACAGATGAACTTGTGTTTATTTAATTGACAGAATTTTTACATACATACATTCTCATTTGACTTTACTGCTGCAAGATAGAGTGCCCCATTTTACAAAGGAAACTTTCTGTATCTTGCCCAAAGATATACAGTAAGTAAATGACAGAGCTAGGACACTATCCTGGATATTTTTACTCCAGTTCTAGCTCTCCTCCCCACATTGTTAGCACAACACAGTCTCCCAAGAGTTCCTTTCCTTTCTCTTTGCTGATGACAATTACTTTGGGTCTTGCTACCATCTTGCGGCAAGTTTAAGCCACTTGGCTAGTAGAGAATTGAGTTACTAATGGTAAAATGTACTAGTATAAGAATCTGTTTCTTCCTGGCCTTCTGTAGACATTCTGTGACCTAGTCCTTTGTTACATTAGTGGGAGTCCAGAAATCTGGGAGCTTTTTGAGTATATGCAAAGCACAAAATAAACTTTTAATATTTCACTCTCCCTATCCAAAACCAATTCTATTAAGCTTCTTTATGCATTCTAGTTGAAAAAATGTAACCAGCGTTTGACTGCTCTATATTCACTTAATAACTAGTGTCAAAAGGCCTGTTAGAAGAATCTTAAATCTACAATGAAGATGTAATATCATCAGTTGTATTTGTTTAACTGTTTGTTAATGTTTATTCCTTTTTAAGTACTCTCATGTACTACATCTGTTAGTAACAATTCCCTTTTTGTTTCCTGCAGAAAAATCCAGAAGAAGACAACTCAGGGAGGACATTAGGTTGGGAGCCGGGGCGCCTGCTGCTCACCATCTGTACCGTACGCAGTATTGAGCAGCTCCTGCCATTCTTCAATGTACTCAGTCAAGTCTTCAACAGCAAAGTCACTAGCCGATGTGTGGGACACTCAGGGAGCCCTGTCCTCTACTCAAACACTTTCCCTAATACGGACATGAAACTGGAAAACCACAAACCATTTTCCAGCAAAGCCAGGCAAAAAATAGAAGAGATGGTAGAAAAAGATTTCCTGGAAGGAGTGATAAAAACTTGAGCACCACAAGTGATTCCATTTAGTTTAAATGTAAATTAATCATTTACAACAAACATTACTCTGAGTTCTATAGTTTTTTCTTTTTCTTTTTTCTTTTTGTATGTAACAAAACACATTTCAGGTTGTATTTAAGTATTTGTAAATAAGAGCAATGTCTGAATGTGGCCTGGATCACGTTTAATATTGTTGGCTCATATTGATTATGGTGCCTAAGAGAGATCTATATATGCATATATAGTTCATTGTTTTACTGTCCTGAGTTGTCTTAAACCTGCAAAATACACACTGCACATTTTTTTTCTATTGGCGTCGAGATTGGTTTAATTTA